GAAAAAAATATGAATAAATTCTTAATGACGATATCAAAAATATTAAGATGAATAAATAAGCAAATGATTAAATAAATTGCATACCTTGAAGTTCTACGCGTATTCAGTTTAATAAATTCAGTTTCCATAGAAGTCTTTTTGATCCCTCAGCAGATATTTCTCTTATAGGTTGCCATCCTTAATTGTGGTAATAATTGTTTTTGTTATTTTCAAATGAAGATAGGTATTCAATTTGTAAATGTATATATTGTATATATTTGTTACAAAAGAATCGATACAGAGCCTATATAATGAATCTTGAACAAATATTTTGAATATTTAATTATTTTGAGATATGATAATTATGTGATTAGTTTTACATATTTTATTTGAAACTGTAAGCAATAGCAGTTAACAGTTGAAGCTTGGAGTATGTTTCTGGAAAAACTATGTATTGATCTTGTCCTTGTAGTATTTTATAAGTAAGTATTGAAAAGCATAATTATACTCTAGGTTTCTCAAAACCTAAATAATTCGACTTGTATCTTACGAAATAAGAATTGCTTGTTTTGTTATCTTACCGATAGTTAATGAAGCAAAGAAGTCTACTGCAGCAGTAAGATAATACAGGATTCTCATTCCAGAGTTAACTTATTTTTTATAATTAACTTGATTATTGTCGACAGCTTCTATTTTATAGCAGAGCTGAAATATAAAAGGTAATAATAAGTTTGGATTACTCTTTGTATGTCTTTATCTGAAATTAAATATTTCATGTATCTTTGACTAATTATTACAGTTATTCTTGTCATGAGAAATAAAATTATTTCAGTGTTCACATGACTTAGCCTCAATGCATTTTGCCTAGGAAACTTTAAATCGTAGCAGCCGTCAACAATAATATATACTATGGCTTAAGTAAATATTCAGGATCAGCACAGAATTTTCTTGTCATGAAGGATATTATATAAAAATTCAAAGGCTTTTTTTTTGAAGACCGTGACATTTAATAGTAAAAAGTACTTTGTTTTCAAAATCATTAAATTAAGATTTATGCATCAGCTTCATTTACTTACAAAATATTTTATATAAAAAGCATTGATTGTATTAGCATTACAGAATCTTTCTGAAGAATTATTGAGAATAATTAAAATCTTTCAACAATTTCAAAATAGAATCACATTATTATGCTCGAACCTGATTTATCATAATTATTTTTGTTTATCACAAGCCAGGATAGTTAAAGCAAATAAACTTTGAATTCAAATCAATATATTTCTACATACCTGTGTATGTGCCTACCCAATAATTTAATCAGTTCTTCATCTTGTCAATACAAAAGTAATTATTAAAATCGGACGCTTCGTTCACTTAAAAACTGAGTTACCGTTTTTGGCACTTTTTGCCCCGTATCTTCGGAACGTCTAGACCTGTCTTCGCCAAAAACTAATCCGCAAGTCTCCTTATCAATACGAATCAAATGTTTTTTTTAATTATTCAAATCGGTTGAACGGTGTTCCATATCCGCATGCACACACACACATCAATTTTTTTTTTAAGGTTTGCCCAAATATTCAGAAACCTTTGAAACGTAAAGATATGAAAATTTTCATTTTCAATTTTTTTGTGATTACTATAACTTACCCTGCGGAAAGTTAAAAAAAAGGTCTATTGAAATCTAGTATGTACAAGCTATTTTTTCAAACTAAAGCAAATTGAATTTCAACATTTTCAAAGACACGATTCGGCAGATCTTTACCTAACACTAACCAATATGATTTCCAATTGATATTTTTTAAAAGGTTTTTAAATTTTTAAAATAGGTTCAGAGTTTATGGAAAAAACATGAACAAAATACTTGGTGATTTATTGATAATTTTTTTTACATCTAGTAAACACCACATTTTAGGTAATAGAATGTCACTAATGGTTGGTTCAATAGGATGAATAAAACTAATTTAAATGTGATTATTTTCCAACTTACGTATACTCAACTAGGCTTGCCTCCAGAATAGTTCATTTTTCTCCTTTACAATTTCAAACAACTGAAGCAAAAAATCATCTACTTGATCATCCGTCATACTGGCAGTTGCAGTTTCTATGCTTCTTGTAGAATTATCACTAATATTGCAACTCAATGATCTAAAAGATTTAATTATTTGAATGAATTGTCACCAAGTCGATATTTGTCTTCATATGTAATAATGAAGTTTACCTCCAAATCATGTTTTTTATCTGCGATAGGCAATGGCATCACACTCATGCAAATGACAGGCATGGGAGGAGCTGGACCCTTTTCACGCTTCCGTTTTCCAGCATTTCTGTCATTATTCAGATGCTTATTGTTTGGAAGACCTATTCAAAAACATCAATTAATTTCATCTAATATAGATTAAGTTTTATTTATTTATCTCTTTAATTATTCACTTAACTAAATAAATCTGCAAAGGGTTAAAAAGATGTCAACATAATTGCAAATCGATAATAAAAATACTTACTAGAAAAATTAGTCGAACTTGCTGTTAATAAAAATCAACAATTTTGGAAAATTGCAAAACAATTTAATAAAAATGTATTGTTAACCCATACCTTTAATTTATTACTTGTTTGCATGTCGCTGACTTCCTTGAAGACTCCATTAACACAAGAATTTCTAGTTGACGCCACGAATGCAAGGCCTTCAGCAATGAACTTCAACAAATTGTATTGTTTAATGATACCTAAACTATTTGCAAGTAATACAATTATTTAAAAAAAAATGAAGCAAGAATCTAAAGCAACTGAGTCTAATAGAAAGTAAGTAAAAAACAAAATGGAGTATAATTTCAATTATGTAATAAATCCGAAATAAAGTGTGCACAATTACTTAAATGTCACTTTTGACGTTACAAGCAACGACACTGTTAAACACAAAATGGAATCGTAAATCCGAAGGCGTTATATAATTTGCACAAATACAACTCACCAGAATAATCAAGAGCTCTTCTGGCAAGAGTCCACCTTGTTTTTCGTGCTCCGATGTAATGTATGCGCCCGGCAAGTCCAAAAAGAAAGAATGAATTTTTGGCGACTCTTTCTGACCATAGAACCATAGATATGGGAAAATGGAGTATAATTTCAATTATGTAATTAATCCGAAATAAACTCTGCACAATTACTTAAATGTCACTTTTGGCGTTACACGCAACGACACTAACACAAAATGGAATCGTAAATCCGAAGGCGTTATATAATTTGCACAAATACAACTCACCAGAATAATCAAAGCTCTTCGGCAAAGATCCACCTTTTCGTGCTCGATGTAATGTATGCGCCCGGCAAGTCCAGAATGAACGACTCTTTCTGACCATAGAACATAGAATGGGAAAATGGAGTATAATTTCAATTATGTAATTAATCCGAAATAAACTCGCCAATTACTTAAATGTCACTTTGGCGTTACACGCAACGACACTGTTAAACACAAAATGGAATCGTAAATCCGAACGCGTTATATAATTTGTACAAATACAACTCACCAGAATAATCAAGAGCTCTTTGGCAAAGAGTCCACCTTGTTTTTCGTGCTCCGATGTAATGTATGCGCCCGGCAAGTCCAAAAAGAAAGAATGAATTTTTGGCGACTCTTTCTGACCATAGAAACATAGATATGGGAAGATGTGCGAATGCAGAGTGTGCATGTAGCGCCAATGATCCCCAAGCGACTCTTTTTGGTACTTATGAAATAGGCAAGGTTAAGGTGACCATAGATAAACAAGAGAATTAAAACTAATCAAGGATTTAATTAAAAACTCTTAATTAACGCGAAATTAAGTTCATTCACAAAAATCTCTTGACATTTGAAGCAATTACAACGTACAATTTAAAGCGCGAAATTCAAACAGAAAATTTAATCTACGAAAATTATAGAAGTATTGTTATATAAAGTATATTTGTTGTTAAAGTTAATAAATTTGTCCGAAAATATAATTTATTTCAAATAAAATTGTTTATAAAAATTATTTTAGCTCATTAATAAATATTTGATTTCAATTTTACATTTAAAACGAGCTGAAAATATAAATTATATTCCATAAGCTTTCATAATATGATAATAATAACTTATACTTAATTTACTTAATTACTATCAATTACATTTTAAATCTAAATAAATAAATGGACATATATTGCATTGCATTGCACATCATTCTATAAAGACCATTTACATGAAGTACTTGACTTGATTTAATAAAAAGACAATACAAAGAATATCATATGTAACTAAAGCTAGTTTTTAAACATTTACACTGTCGTTTCACTTCTTCTCAAAGATACAAAGGCAACTTGCTTTTTACATCATTATAATATTCATTCTCAGATGTTTCATCTTCCTTATTACTTATTCAAGATGTCGACAGATTGTTTCAAATCTATTTCATCAATAGGTGTGAAACTGTAATGATAAAACTGTAAAAGTTCCAGTTAAAGGTACTCCTAAAGTCTGATATGGAAATGGTCCACTGCAAGGATTAAACTTAAAAGATACTGAGGATGATGGCATGGGTAAAAAAATTTGGAATCTCCTATAATAGTATTAGTACTAGAAATATTATTGCTGGCACAAACAACTTTAATTTGCATTAAAACATATTTATCAAAATATAATTAAAATGTATTTAAAACTTAAACTTGTTTAATTGTGATCATATGACAATAAAGCTATTTCACTTCTAAGAATAATTAATTATTTGCTCCATTTGCTACATTTTAGCAAACTCATTATGCTTTGTATTAAGTGTAGAATTTAATAATTCAAAAAGAAGCCAGCATCATTAGCCTGTTAATCTAGAAATAGCAGCTTCAAAAACTTGCTAACAGAAGTTGAATGTGCGTTCTATAATTGATAAAAATTAGATATTTCAAATCTAAATCATCATTACAAAATCTTAAGTTTATTGCTACATATTATATTTATTGCTACGTATTATATTGATTATCATAAGTTGTATAAAAACTTCTGTTGTAAGTTTCAAACAGTTGATAAAAAATTATATAAAGTAATCTACAAGAAATACTTTTGATAAAAAGTCAATATAAAGAAAATCATACATAGCTAAAATTAAGTTTTAACTATTGACACAGACATTTCATTTTTTCTCAAAGGTACGAAGGCAATTTGTTTTCTATATCATTATAATGTTCATGCTCAGATATTTCATCTTCGTTAATTGTGCTTCATAGGTTAGTTACAGTTAAAGGTACTCCTATAGTATGCATTGGAGGCGATCCATCTTAAGTTCTAAACACAGAAAAAATGCACAGCATGATCCATTGCAGACACGAAAAATATGGATAGACACATCGTTCTGGATTCTTGGAAGTTCCTATAATGGAAATATTTGGGTTGTAATAATGAATAATGATATTTTACATTACTAGCAAAATCAATTACATAATAAACTATATCATATAATTCTTATTTTTGGCAATAAAGTTCATATAAATTACTTTATTATTATAAAAAATTATATTAATTCGGATCATTCAGTATCAAATTACTTAAACGCTTGTAATTATACTGTTTTAAATATTAAATATTTAAAGAATAAATTTATTTTTATAATGTTAATTGAGTAAAATATTAAATATTTTACATTTGCCTTTTGTTTATTGTATAAATGTATTTAAAACCTTGAAGTTTTCTTATCTTCATGCACAAAATTATAGTTACCTATATTTACATTTTTAAAGACATCATCATTTGGAAATCAGCATAAATGCATTTCTATTAATATATGTATCAGACTTGTCTTGTTATCTCTGAAGTACAGGGACAATCCTGTTAGCATCCCGAACAATTATTATTCTCCAAAGTATGTATACTTGCAACAGTGCAAGAATCCATAACACTATAAAATAAAAATTCAGTGAAATTATTGTTATTAATTAAATACTTGTTTGTGAAACATACATATTATATGCACTATATAAAGTTCTTATTATTTTTAAACTCAATTCATTCTAAAAGCATTGTAATAGTAGAAACTAGTATGTATATTATTCGAAGCACATCAATAATTATCAATTCATTGACAATTAATTAAAACTCAGTAATGCTTTTGCTTCAAAGTACTTTTGATAGGACAAAGAATTCATTTTTCATTATAAAAAAATTGTAAATATAAATCTGATTCAATAAAGAATTTATCTATAGAATAACTTACAGTGAAATCATTCATTTCATTTGATTCAATTACATTCACATAAAATTCTAATAGGTTTATGTGGTATTTTTTTAGATTATTGTGAGCAAAATGTACTTTTGAACAAAATTGTGTTTCTTAAATAAACTATAAGCATTTCTCATCAGTTTTTGACTCAATTCATTAAAAAATATTTGGCGTTTTATGTAACTACAACTGAAGTTTAATATACTGGTATTACTACTTTGATTTATCATTTTACTCTATATTATTATCACATGAATTGGCAAATTCATTGGAATTGTAGTTCGATATTTAAGTTTTCATATGAATAAAATTAAATTTTCTAAAACTATTATATATAATAGTATATAAAATGTTGCAAAACTTACTCAATCTTCTACTCATCATCTCTGTTTTTCTGTTTAATGTATATTTCTGAGAAGACAGTTAAATAAAACTAATGGTATGCCTTTACATAATTCATCAATAATATATTTCATTTAATTTTTTCTTTCTTGTTTCCTTACAAGTTATAAGCACCTGTGAAAAGAATATAGTTTTATTACAAGAAACACTACTTAGATAGTGAAAAATTTTACTAGATTACTACATCGATGTAACGATTTAATTAAAAGTTTAATTTTAATAATTAACAAAGAAATAAGTTTTAATAATAATCATAAACATAGGAATTGATATAAAAAATATAATATATAATAGCCACATGACACTTCATTTGAAATATAATAATCATAATGATAATCAATTTGTACTTACATTAAGGTTATTTGAATTCGTAATAGTCACACCATACATTGTGCACGAATAATATTGCACTTTCATATATATATTCTGACGTTTCTGCTCTCCTAATACTTCGAAGCGATTATAGGAGCATTTTCGTAAGAAGTAACGAGAATTGTCCGCCATTTATATATTTGGAGCTGTCAAAATGAGGCAACCAATCAGAAAGCAGGACTACATTTAACAAGAAACCAGGCCCGCATTTTGAACAAATTTATATGTTGAATAAAACAAATATATAATTTTTTTAAAAAAGTCGGAAAAGCACATTATTATAAAAATTACACTAATTATATATTACTAATAAATGTAATTTTACTTTAAAATATACTATGTGTCTAATTTATAAAAGTTAATAACAAAATAACTTTTGTTTTATATTATTTAACTAATTACAAAGATAGCGCTGCATGCAATCGCCTCTATGAATCTAGAAATCTTATTGGATTCCTTTATACGCTTTTATATATAATTATGATCCCGGCTTAGGAGTAATATCAATATATACATTTATATATCGCTTTATACTCTATTATAAATATAATTGTCATCTCGGTATATATAATTGTCATATCAATATTTACAATCAATCGCCTTGGAACTTAGTGGATTCCTTTATAAGCAATTATATATAATTGTGGTCCATATATACACACACACACATATATATATATATATATATATATATATATATATATATTGGAGATTTGAACTCGAAATCCAAAAACGAGAACATACGCCATTGCGATCGAAGCCATTTAACGATCTCACCCACCCGTCGCTGACAAACATTTGATTGAATTTGGTACTTTCGTTCTGATTGAATTTTGATCTTAACAATAATTTCACATACCTCCCTCGCCATTTTACTTGTCAAATAAAAAACCCCAAATGCACCCTTTGGGTTCGAACCAGCCTCCTTCTGATTAGAGTCTAGTTTAGCGCTCTAACCATTGCGGCCACGGCGACGAAGAGTTTCCGGCTGCTAACACTGGAAGGACATTCTTCGACGACTGACCATCATCATTTGAGTCAAGGTCACTGGGGGATGATATGAAAAAATAAATGTTCACCCAGGGGGTTGAAAGTGGGCTCATTCGATTCTGCTGGTCCTTGCGAATTTCAAGCGGGGGGTTACAGGGGGGAAAATTTTGTCCGTTTTTTGCTCAGGAGAGCAGAAAATCGACTTTTTGTAAAATTTGCGTTTTTTCTATGGGAAAAACTTTTTGCGTTTTCAGGGAGATTTTGTGCTGACCTTGTCGTGGTCAAGGTCAAGGTCAAGGTCACATTGAAAACGCAAAAAATCTTCAAAAATTCCCATATAGAAAACCCGTGAATTTTAAAAAAAGTCGATTTTCTGCTCTCCTGACGAAAAACGGACAAAATTTTCCCCCCTGTAACCCCCCGCTCGAAATTCGCAAGGACCAGCAGCAGTATCGAATGAGCCCACTTTCACCCCCTGGGTAAACATTAATTTTTCATATCATCCCCCTGTGACCTTGACTCGAATGATGATGGTCAGTCGTCGAAGAATGTCCTTTCAGCATTAGCAGGCGGAAATTCTTCGTCGCCGTGGCCGCAATGGTTAGAGCGCTAAACTAGACTCTAATCAGAAGGAGGCTGGTTCGAACCCGAAGGGTGCATTTGGGGTTTTTTATTTGACAAGTTAAATGGCAAGGGAGGTTTGTGAAGATATTGTTCACACATGTACCAAAATCAATCAATTTTTCACAGGTGATGAAATGGACGAGGTTGTTAAATGTCTTCTGTCGCAATGGCGATTGTTCTCGTTTTTGGATTTCGAGTTCGAATCTCAAAGGAAATTTATTAAGTATTTTAGTTTATTTTTTCAATAAATTTTAAATAAACATTTAAATATTGCTTGAAATATATAAATAATAGTTATAAATTATAAAAATTATAGAATTTGACACTTTTTAATTCAAAGTATTAGTATTCCTTAGTAATTAGGCATGATAAATAATTAAAAATTGATAAAAAAATTAGGGATAGTGTTGGTCAATATCTTAGTCAATTACTAAAGAATTAACAACTATATCTACATAAATCATTATATATGACCTAGCCACCTTAATTTGTATGGGAATAAAATTAAATGTATATATTGCTTTTACCATCATTATATATGAGCTAGCTGTCTTATTATGTATGAAAATTTGATATTTATATATATATATATATATATAATATATATATATATATATATATATATATATATATATATAGAAACCCTTTGCGCATATGCAACCTGAAATACTCCATATATAATTATAATGTATTTAATAAAATGCACATAAAAATTATAATAAAAGAATAAAATCAAGTTATATATATATTTATTTAAATATAATACAAAATATTTGATGAGAATAAATAGCCAAATACACATTGATATTACTTCTAAGCCTCGCGAATAGTATTATACTTTCATACATACTCTGAGATGTGTCTGCTACCCTGGTAGATCGGAAGCAAAATTCGTATGAAAATGCAAAATTCTATGAATGAATATGAGCTCGTATAAAGCGCGTATATGAACGTTAAATTACTTAATATAAATTTATTTAATATTATATTAGATTTTGAATAAATAATAAGTATAATGTAAAATAAAATGGATATATCTTTATGTAAATGGATTTTTATGTATGATTGTAATAAAGTAAATAAAATTATTTTATAGACCTTTAATTATTGTTTGCCAAGAAGCAAACTGAAAAATTCTATAAATTACACATCCATGTTTAAAAAAAATCAATTAATTTACTTAAATAATTATTAATATACATAATTACAAAATATTACAAATTATACTCAATGTAATTAGCAAAATCACAATGATTTAAATATATATTAATTTAATGATAATATATTATTCAATAAGTATATGATACATATGATGTATTATAATTGATACATATATGATATGATACATATGATGTATTAATATATGATATATTAATTATTGTTGTCAAATTATTTATTTATTGTTATTAATTATTGTTTGCCAAAAGCAACCTGAAAAAATACTATAAATTACACAACCATGTTAAAAAAAAAATTCAACTCTGAGAATAATTGATTGTATATTCACAAATTGACCTCACAATCCATCTGTTAACATAATATTCATGAAATATATTTCTTCATGATGAGAATGATTGCTTAATGATAAGATTATTTAAATGATGAGCATGATTACTTATTATTCTATAGCTGGTATTTACTTAAGCTAATTCGTTTATATATAGGTCATTGATTTTAATTAAGAACATTGTCTATTAAAACTTACTTCAAATTTGCTCCATTGTAATTTAATCATTTTAACGAACATGTATCATGCTTTATATAAAAGTTTAATTCTGTAGGATTCGATAATCCAAATAAGTTAGCACCATTAGCCAGTTGGTAATATAAACATTGTATAGCAGCTGCTTCGAAATCATACTGCAGTGGCATTTCATGACATTAGTTTAATGTGGTTCCTACAATTGATATATAATTAAGATATTTCAAATGTAAAATAACATTACAAAATCTTAATTTAGTTATTATCAACATTTATCATTCCTAGGTAAATTTCCACTACCATAAATAATCAAAGATAAAAAACAAATCCTACTGGATATACTTATACAGTCAATTTATTATAAGCTGTTTTTCCTAAATATTTAAATAAGTGATAAAATTAAAATAAAATAATAAATTTAGAATTTTGATATACGATAAGATTGCCTAGTTCTAAAGACAATATTGCTTTGCCAAATGCAAAAGCTAGAAACTTTTTTGCAACAGTTTTTATAGCTTGGATCAACTAGTTTTGTCTTGATTTAGCTACATGAGTGATGATATTTAATCAATTGTAATAATCACAGAGAATATTTAATATTAAAACTTTTTATGTCACTTACTGTCAGAAGAAGTTCTCATGGGCTTAGACAATATTAGAATATGATGTATTCATGAATATCACGGGGTCATCTCTTCATTTAACAGCTTTGTGTTCGAATCTTTTTGAAATTGATAACGATGTTGATTCAAGAATTCTGCTTCACATATCAATACTATACTCAGTGAACACATCAATAATGTTGTCAATAAATATATGTTATTTCTTCCTTAAAAATTAGAATCCTGTGCTGCATTCGGACAACATGAAGTTTAACATACTAGCGTAAATTGGTTAATTTATTAGAAAATATAATTTGAGTTGTAGGTGAATAATTAAGTATTCATTTAAATAAAATAAATCGCACATACACTAAAATAGAATTCAACATTATATTAAGTGTTCATTTAAATAAAATAAATCGCACATACACTAAAATAGAATTTAACATTATAATAGTACATAAAATGTTGCCACACTTACTCGAAGCAGTAATTTTCTATTCTCCATCCTTGTTCACTGGAAGACAGTAAAATATAAAGCAATGATATGCCATTACATAATTCATCAATATATCATAAGTTACATTGTTTATGTTCCTTGTTTTTTATATAAGTTATAAGCACCTGCAAAAATAATACAAATTTATAACAAAAATGCATCTAAAATATTATCATATAGTCATTATAGTGTTACAAACTATACATACTCTGCATATACATATATAAATTATTATTCTCTATGAATAATATAGTTTTTGCTAGAAAATTAAGGGAGTCTTCTACCTTGTTGGATAAAAATCGATTTATTTATTTAGCATTTTTGTGGCCTGAAAGGTACTAGAAATATAATGTTGAAGTGGTACTTTATAGCCCTGGCATTGCAAATTGATTGTACCTTTTCTTCCAAGATCAATGCATTAATATCTTTGAATTCAATTTCCCAAAGTGGTGTTTTCACAACTGGTTGACTCTCTCTCAAAATATCTCTAAAAGTAATTGATCAATTGAATATTGTTTGTTCCTTTCAATGATTTTTACAGCAATTCTGGATCTTGAAAGTTATGTTAAAAGAATAGAAATGAACAAGTTAAATGCAAAATATCGCACCTTCATTGAATTATTGGTTTCCCTGCGATTCATTCTCAAATAACAGTATCAAAAACGAAGCCCCAAGGTAGAAGACACCCTTAAACTATAACGATTACAATAAAAATTTTCATTTGAAATATAATAATTATTTTGTACTTACTTTTTGTGCTATTGATACTTATAATGTATATATTCAATTTCTGTACAAAATAAGTCAAAAAATACTACACATCTTATGATATATAAAACAATATATACATTTATTTATCCGATTTTGAATTCATATTCACTTGTCGTCGAAGAACTGTCAAACGTTTGACGTTTGGTCTGTGGCGCCATCTGACACAGAACCATATGAACCCGGTAGTCACTACGTAGTTCCCAACGAACTGGAAACGATTTTGCATAGAGGCGCTGCAAGCGTCATACCTCACATGTATGGCGGGATATTTGAATTTATATATTCAATTTCCATGCATACTAAGGCAGCTAGTCCATATATAATGATGGAAAAATCAATATATACATTTATATATCATTTTCCCATACAAACTAAAGCAGTTAGTCCATATGTAATGATGGAAAAACCAATATATACATTTATATATCTACTTCTCATATAAACTATGGCAGCTAGTCCATATATAATGATGGAAAAATCAATATATATATTTATATATCCATTTTCCATACAAACTACGGCAACTTGTCTATATTTAATGATGGCAAAATCAATATATACATATATATATATATATATATTTCCATTTTCCATACAAACTATGGTAGCTAGTCCATATATAATTATGGCAAAATCAATACATACATTTATATATCCATTTCCCATGCAAACTAAGGCAGATAGTCCATATATAATAACGTAAAAATCAATATATACATTTATATATCCATTTCCCATACAAACTACGACAGCTTGTCTATATATAATGATGGAAAAATCAATATATACATTTATATATTCAATTTCCATACCATACTGAAGCAGCTGGTCCATATATAATGATGGAAAATCCATATATACATTTATATATTCAATTTCCATACATACAAAGGCAGATAGCCCATATGTGATAATGGAAAAATCAATATATACATTTATATATTTGATTTTCATACATACTAAGGCAGCTAGTCCATATATAATAATGGAAAAATCAAAATATATATATTTATATATCCATTTCCCATATAAACTAAGACATCTAGTCCATATATAATCATGTATAAATCATTATATAAAACCGTAAAAACTTGAAAACTTATATCTTCAATTCAATATTCCACTAAGTATAAACAATAGGCAAAGATGAATCTAATTTTGTGAATGAATGAATGAATGATTAATAATATACATTGAGTCGAAGGAAATAACCACAACTTAAATTAATTTATTTTAACAGTAAACATTTTCAGATCATACATTTAACTAATACCAATTTTTCATAAAAGCTATAATATTTTAAACCTGCAGATCTCAAGAATATAAAATTAAGTATCCATTTATACATACAAAATATTTAATTATTAAGTGAAATAAATTATTATTAAATTAGCTTTATATAAATACTCTATCTACAGAACATAGTGTATTAACAAGAAAATTAAAAAAGTAATTAAATAATATATCTAAATTATTTTAATATATTTTCTAATGTCGCTCCATGGCAGGATTGTCGTGTCCAACATCAACAACGTTCGACTTGAATTTTGTTTTAAGCTTCTTTTGAATTTCTTCAAACGACAAACCTGGTAATAATTGTTAATTATTTATTTATACAGTCACAGGTAAGAGCATGTCAAAATAATAAAATATATATAGTTTTCAAAAAATAAAGTCAATAGGTCAACATTAATTTTTTAATTCGAATTAATAAAACGAAGAAATTTGTGAGTGTTTTTGAAGACATAGAAGCAAAAACATTTAAAAACAAGTGGTTCTCTTAGAAAATAATTATTCATGTCTGAATTATTCGTCTTCATTCAATATGATGATATTCTAAAAGATGTATTCTAGCAGTTTTACTAAAACCATCTTTAATTGAAGTCAGAAGCAAAATTATATAAAAAGTTTATTTTACGAAATTAACAAGAAATTCGTACAAAACAATCAAAGTATAAGAGTGCCTGCCTCTTTAATTCTATCACGACTCATTTTATTTAAAATTTTGATACCCAAGAGTATATAACAGTTTTGATTAGATTTTAGTAACTTTTATCTAGTTTTCATTAATGTAAACAAATTATGAAGTCCAGAATGTAAATCAAAAGTTATTTGAAGAAAACTAAAAAAATGTCCTAAATCGGGATTTATTTAATATATGGCCATATATTAAATTATGGAAATACTACAGTACACATTATTTCACATGCAAATTATTCAAAATTTTAATATTAAAGAGTATATAACATTTTTTATGAGATTTTAGTAAATTTTATCTAGTTTTTACTAATGTGTACAAATTAAAATTTACTCTATTGAAATGTCCTAAATTTACATCAAAATGTCCTCCCAGTCTTCGAGACGAGTATTTTACTCAGAGTGATGAATTTATATAAATGTCTCAATATATTATTGTCCTATTATTATGCTTATTAGTAATTATTTTATTCAATTTATGAATTGTAACTATCTATATTTACATATGTTAGCTTTAATTATGTTTTTTTTGTGAATTTTTAACCTAGATTTACTTTGTATATTTTATGATAAATTTAATATATTTTAAATTATTTCTTATTATTTTTTGTATTTTGTCCACTGAGGAAGAGTCAAATTGGGATTCGAAAAATGTAGAAATCGATTATTTTCTAATAAATTCGGTACTAAAATTCTATATAATTTTGTTTTATAAACTGACAAAACATCTAAAACTATGATATATTTTTTATTTTTATGGATTTTCTCCATCCATTGGCTACTACGTAAAAAGTCTAAGTTCTCTGTTGAAAATAAGTTGCTGCTATATAAATCAATTATTAAACCAATCTGGACCTACGGAATTGAGCTCTGGGGATGTGTTTACAAATCAAATATAGCTATAATGCAAAGAACTCAGTCAAAAATTTTACGTACAATTCTCAATTCTCCGTTGTACATGACAAATAAAACCATTCACAGCGACCTCAACATGAAAACGATGCAATTAACGTTCAAAGAATTCAAGGAAAAATACAAACGCAAACTGGACTCACATTCGAACCCATCAATAGTTGACATTACTCAACCTTTTGGCATAATGAGATTGAAACGACAATGGCCTTTAGACTTAGTCTTAGATTAGATCTAATATACTATTATCATTATATTGTAAAACTAAGAAGATCTCACTGAAGTTCTTCTTAGGCATTGCTCTTAAATATTGCCAATTTAGCTCATAGTAATCTTTATGTATTTCTGATTGCTAAATAAAAACAGAGTTCAAAAAAAAAAAGGATTTTCTCCATCTATGAAAAAGTTCAAACGACTACCCTAATCATGCATATTATTCTGAAATAACCCCTCTCTTTCCCCTTCGTAAATATGATGATTATTTGTCTTACCTCTGGTCTCCGGTAAGAAAACTGCCACAAATATGACGGAAAGAGCGCAGAAAAATGCATATAGTCCAAAAGTTCCTGAATTTTTCAAGAGAGCTTGCAAGTCATCAAAAGTGAGAGCGATCACGAAGGCGGTGACGAAACAGATGGACGTGCAGATAGCGGATGCATGAGCCCGAAGATGTCCAGGAAAGATTTCGCTTATAACCACCCATATAGCGCCACCGAAACCTGAAATATTAAATAACATATTATCTGAATACGGATCAGAGGCATGGACTCTGAGCAAGGTATGAGAAAAAGCCACATTTATGAAATAGAGAAGATGAACTGCACAGTTAAGATAACATATGAAGATGAGATGAGTGAGCAGAAAAAACTATTGAGAACGATAATTCGTCATTCGCTCTCGATGATATCATTTCTATACGGGTCGATTGTGATTGGTCGTCGTGTCGCTCGAGTATGATTGCTTTGATTGTATAGTGAAAATAATAAAACAAATGAAAAATCTGACGTTTAAGAAACTTAAGTTTATTGAAGTAATTTGTATTATTCGTGGTTACTATATATATTTTTGAAGTTATTACTAGATTACTAGATACTACCAGCTGTTCAAAGAATGAAATTGTATCACCAGCAAAAAAGTAAAAAAAAGCAGTTCATGAATGTATGTTAATTTTAATTACACGAAGTTCTTCAAACACAATTACATGATAAGTGAAATTGTGAAAACAATATATTTATTCAGGCCTCATTTAATATAAATTCTCTGCATTTTTATACATATTAAAAATATATATTAAAAAGCACAGCTTTATTCTATCATGACAAAGATATATCATTAACAGAATTATATCGCAGACACTTTTGGAAGTTTAGAGGAAGTTTACATGTTTTCGTTTAGGATGGCTATTAAGTATTACAAAGTTGCATATTTTTATAAATATTGAAGAATAAATTGATATTCAGATTTATTACTCTAAACAAGAGATCAAGCACAACAATAGTACATCATTTATATATACAGATATACATCTTTGCAGTTTATTTATTGATAGTGTTAATGAATTTATTCACAATTGTTATAAGTTTACTGTGTAAACGAACATTATAGAATGTATTAATCAGCAATTACTTCATTTCTTTAATAAAAGTTCAAGTCCTAAATGCTAATTACAATGACAAACCGATCATGTCTAAAGTATGACTTCAATTACATTAATATATATATATATATATATATATATATATATATATATATAATTTGATATTAATTATAGATATCACATAACTCACCAATAGAGTTAGTAAAAATAAAAGCAGCTATACATCCCATTGGTATCGAAGTCAAAGAATCAGCATTCATCAAATTGTTTTCAATTATATAAAAATACGCACCAAAGGTCCCCTAAAACATAGATTTCCAAAAATAACAATATATTACTATTTCAACACCATCAAAATTTAATTTAAGGATATTTTAATCAAAACTTATAAGTTAAAAAAAAAACTTACCATTGCAATGGTCATCCCGGCGCCTGAAAATATTAACAAAGACTTTCTGCCGCATCTATCAAAAATAAAAGGAGTAATGAGTGCAGCAAATGTTTGAATCGCTCCTGAAATATAATATGAAAAAATTGTTGAAAAAGTAATAATTTATTAGTTTATAATAAATGCAATTAATGCAATCAATTTTATAATTCAAATTGTTTCAAATGATTTAATCATACGTAAAATATTTTTTAACTTCTCGAAGGAGAAGTTTATGTTTTCATAAAAAAATCCGATTCGCTAATTTTATGTTTTCTCGACGTTTCAACCCATTCTGAAACGAATGAGACCAAATTTGGAAAAAGTAGTAAACAGATTTTTTGCCGTAAACCGAGGTTTCCAAATGATAGTCATGACTATGTATATTGCATGCCATAATAAACTAAACTCTATATTAATTTATCAAAACAAGATTTACCAACCCATTATCATGGCCATGACATCTGGCGAAAGACTTGATGCCGTTTGCTCGAACAAGGATTCGGCGTAAATTAATACGGCAGTAACTCCTGATAATTGAAAGAAGACGGCCAATCCTATTCCCAAAAATAAAGGCAATTTTTGGGTACCACTGCATAGGAGCTCACGATATGAGCCATCCTTGGCTGCTTCCACATCTGCCTAAATATAAAAGAAAATTAATAAGAAGGCATTCGAAATTAAAAAAGATTTAATTTTTTTAAATAATTTGTATAAATTATTTGTATATTGCGTTAGATTTTACGTAAATTTAATAGTAAAGTTTTACCTGTATTTGCTTAACTTCTTTATCTATTTCATCTGCAGATCTATCTCTTAAGCGAACTAATGATGCTTTTGCTTTATCTAGCTTACCTAAAAATCAATATAATCCAAATTAATCAATATTTATAACAACTATAGATTATATTCTATAGGGTTGTTTGAAAGGTCGTTTTTATACCATAGAGTATTTAGCTATTTTTCTTTTTTGAACCTTTATTAGAAACCTCGTATTTGAAGGTTTGTGTGTAAAAAGTCCTAAGACTTCTAAGCAATTACATGCAGTAGTTTGTGGAGGGTGCCACTTTGAATACGGAAAGAATTAAGCAGAAATTTCGATATATTTTACTCTTTTGCTACAGAAAAGGTAAAAATACTGTTTAAGTCAAAATGAAATTGACCGATGTGTATGGAAATGACGTGATAGTACAACGGTGCCAAAACTGGTTTGCTAAATTTCATTCCTGGTATTTTGATGTCCAAGATGCATCACGTCCAAGAAGTACGGTTGAAGCTGGTAAAGATGCGAGAAAGACATTAGTTGATGCAAACCGGTGAAAAACAATACATGAGATCCCATTGAGTAAAAATTTATCAAATTTAACAGTCCATGACTACTTAATAGGTCTCGGATTTTTTTCAATGTATGGTTTTCATTGAAAGAAACCTGTGTCATCGCACTGGCGTCCGCGATTCGCCTGTGAAAAGTCCTGAAAATTATCAGGTTTTGATAGCGATATGTTATTAGGAATGTCAAATGGGATGTAAAAAATACAATATATACAATTGTCCATAAAACAAAAAACAAGAACCTACTCAAAACAGTTGCAAAGCTGAAAATCGACAAAAAAAGGTGATGCAGTATGTTGACTTATGTCATCAGCTGGATTAACTAAATAAAGTACTTTAATAGAAAAGATCAGAATTAACCCACAAGGAAGGTCTAGTATTGCATCAAGACGACGAAAGACGTCTTGATGCAATACTGAAGTTTGGTCATTTACCAAAAGCTTTTACAGCTTGAATGGGAGCCAATGACACATTCATCATATTCTTCAGATCTGCCATAATCGGACTATTATTTGTTCTGGATACTAAAAAAATTTTTAGGCGGTAAAACCTTTACCCCAAATGAGGAGGTCAAAAAGCACCTTGATCAGTTTTTTGCCAATAACGACCAACAAAATTATGATCTCGAAATTATGCTAATACCAGAAATATGGCAAAAGATGCTCGATCAAAACAGCCAATACATAATTTTTAAAGTATTTGTTTATTGTACGAAAATTACGTTTGAAAATGTCTATAAAAAACGAAGTTACTTTCCGAACAACCCAATATAAATATTACTAAAAATGAAAATAAATAGAAAAATCATAAAAATTGTAAAAAAATAACTAGTACTATTCCTTATTCGTAACTCACAAAAGAGCCATTTATAAAACTAAAAAGTATCGACAGAGAAACACAATTTTTTCTTACTTTGATTACTTTCAGTACATTCATTATCTATTTCAATAGTAATCAGAATTTAAAAAATCCTGTAGGCTTTCAGTAATGATAGGTCCTAACCACGTGGCTTTCTTAGAGGACAACCCAAAGGTGGTTCCTATCTATATTTGATCTATTTTTTATGAAAATTTCTCCAAAAGTGATACTATATTTTTAACTTTATACAACTTGATGACTATAACCTGATTGATATCAGGTTGTCCAGGTTTCGTAATAACTACGCACGGTTATGAACTTAAAACTTCGTGGGTATGAAACCAAAAGCTCACCACAACAACCCTATTAAAATAGGAATTAAATTTTCCTTCAAATACTAACCTTTAGACGCACAACAATATGGACTATCTGGCATAGGAATGAAACAAATTGCGAATATTATTGGAATGATTCCACATATTGTGGTGAAAACGACGTAAGATGTGTAAGGGCCTATGCAATATACCAGCAACATCCCAATAGTTAGAGTAAGTTGCAATAAGGCTCCTAATGTGCCACGAAAAGTGTTCTGGAAGAAAAAAAAATATACATAACAGAATAAAAAAAATTAAAAAAAAACTCGAATATTTTTACTCACATCTGCGATTTCTGAAACGTAAGATGGAGCTACTGAGAAGACGACACTACAAGCTATACCTAGAATGAACCTGGCGACCAGGAGTTGCATTATGGTCGTGGCCGAAGCCGTCAGGATCCAGCCGACCAGGCTGGGCAGAGCTGACCACAGCAGCGTCTGCTTCATGCCGATCTTGTTCGTTGAAAATGCACATATGAACGGCCCTGGATAATGGAAAAGAAATGTGTTGATTTACTAATTGTTGTTATAGATATTGTTATAATGTTTTTCCTTTAAATTATTATTATTATTAAAACTGACAATTACCTACAGCAGTACCCAGAGATACCAGCGCGCCCATCCACATTGCCTCCGGGCTGGTGATGTGTCGTGGAAATGGGCTGTAACTTTTATCTTTTGCTAGTTTTGCTAATACTGGCGAAGTCCAGGCCATTGATGCACCCGCTGATATTGTTAAAATATTCACTGAAAAT